CTGAAGGGTAGGAATCCACTCAAGAAAGCATTTTTCAGCAGATTTGAGTAGCTACTCAAGGATGGAGATAGAAGTCAAGTAGCTACTCAAAATCTGCATTGACTTAGGTAAACATATATATTTAAAAATCAAATTTTACATATATATCAATGTTCAGACAATCTAGGACAGAATTTTATCCAAATTCTTCAGTGCATGCCATCACTAGAGGAACTTCTTGCATCACCTTGTTTCTTCACTTCCACCAAGTGCTTAAAATAGTCTGCTCCTTGAATCTGTGTGATGCCGTCACTGCAGATTTTACCCGAAGCCACAAGTATCAATTACTGTTTTGTAGTCATGGCCATGTGACCCCATTTGCAACATTGCATTTTCAGAATGATCTTTAAGTGGCATGATTACAGCAATGTCTAACGCTCCCAATTGCGGGTCACACATCAGGAATCGTATTAAATTTCTCTAACTTTTAAAAAATTAGTTCTATTCAGTGACTTCTATACACATCCCCACATGGGTATACCATCCTGTCATAGGGAAGACTTGACTACAAGAGCAAATACCTTGTAATATGTTTGAGCACACACAGTAAAAGCACATACTTTTGGACCCTTTGTTTATTCGTGGTTAGGCACTAGAGGGGGGTGTACTCCCCCAATCCAGGACCTTTTTGGCTTGGGTGTTTTGCTCCCTATAAAGAACAGTGCCTTTTAATAATGCTATATGGAGGCTGTGGTAAACTTGCAGATACTACAGTTGTGATTCTAAAACTTGTCTTTCTAGAACTTCCCTTTGAGTAGCACCCACATCCTTTGCAGTCCGTGTTTATGGGTATTGTGTGACTGGGAATTCCCTAATTCACACCACTTTGCCCTTTCCCTTCCAGGGGACAGCAGTTTGCTCAGCAGATACAGCAGCAGAACCCTGAACTCATAGAGCAACTGAGAAATCACATCCGGAGCAGGTCATTCAGCAGCAGCACGGAAGACCACTCCTGACTCTCGATCAGGGATTCTAGACTGGAAACGGTTACTGCTCTGAAGTGTTTGCTGTAGATAGTGGCCAAAAAACAAAAACAAAAACCCTACAGAATACATCTGTGTAGACAATAGGTTTATCACAAACAGACTTCACTGTCATGTGACTCCTTTGTACATGGTCACTCAACAGGGTTTCATCTTCACATCCTCGTCGTCCTATCTGTATGCTAGACTTAACAGCAGTAAGGCTGTTTACTGGTGAGTGCTCTGGCTCCCAATTCCCTTCAGCAAACTTTCTGAGAGGGAAGATGACCAAGAGGAAAGGTTTCACATGCTGGGTTAAGAGCAACGTGCTTGCCAACGAGCAGCACGTCTGGAGAGAACTTTGATATCTAGGTTTAGCCTCGAGAATGCCATCAGTGATGAATATATATCACAGGAGCCAGCACTGTCTTTAATGCTGCTCATTTTAATGGGTGGCAGGGAGGCATCAGAGCTGGTAGAAAGCAGAATTTGGTGGAAGGGTTGTTTGAAAAAAAAAGAAGAGATGCTGTGAATGTATAGAAAGTGAAGGTAGGTAGGATGCTCAGGTTTTTGCCTAGTTTTTAACTCATCTTGCCTGTAGTTTGGTATTTATAACCTTAGCATGGCTAATTATACTATGTACATAATAAAATACACTTAGAAATCCTTAATGGTACTGGTTAGGCCAGTTGTATAACTCTTCAGTTTAACTAGCACAACTTCCCCAGTGGTGACCTTACCATGAAAACTCTCAAATATACCTACATTTAAATAAGCCAATGGCTTGGCTCTTAAGTTAAGGATTTCCTAAGTGGCATTTAATTATGTGCCCATAAACACTGTTTTTTTTTAAAAAAACACCTCAGTAATTATTTGATAGAATACAGAAAGCATCTGTCATTAACAGTGCTTGTTCGTGTAATCCTCTGCTATGATTTGGTTTGGCATGTTGCTTTTATGCTTAACTTAATTTGATGCAACTTAAACATAATAGGGGATATAAAATATTACATTTAAATTAGAATACATATTAGTGGAGAGAAGTGGCATTGTTTGGTATTAATGGCACGGCTCTAACTCTAGTGATGGAGGAGGCTGTTCTAACTGGAATTTCTTTTGTTTGTTAATTATGAAATAGGTAAAGTTGGGCAGACACATGGTGTTGCAAGTGTTGTGAGAAAAAACTGCAAAAGAATGTAATATTAAATTAGTAATACTGATAATAGTCAGGGCATTATTAGAACTATTCTCCTCAAAAGAGAATAAAGTTTAAAAACCTTTTTCTCTCTTTCCCTTTGTGAGATTAGACTAGTGGTTCTATAGTTTCACTGTAAGAGTCACCTGGTTTATTTGCTGAAAATGCAGATTCAGGACCACACTTTCAATTTTTATTTAATAGGTCCTGTAAAAAGGCCCAGGAAGCACCATTTTAAACAGTACGAGGTTAGAGATTTCTCCTCAGTTTAACCAGCAAATACCTAAACCCCACTCTGGGCTTAGGCCACAATGAAGACTTAAATGAACCTATAGGTCTGTCCAGAGAAGAGAAGGACTTAAGTTTTAGACCCTCTGAATTAAATCTCCTCTATTCCATCTAAACTAATATAATTTTTCATAAATTCAGCTCCTAGTGTCCAAGGATTATACAGAATGAAGGACTAATTATATGAATATGATGACATTGATGAAAAGAAAGCAAAGCTGATCCTTAATTAAAAATCAGTCACTGTTATCCAGTGTTGAGTAAGAAAAAGTTTCTAGCATAGCTATTTTGAGTGCATTAAAAATGCTTTCAGCCCTGGCTGGTGCGTTCAGTGGTTAGAGTGCTGGCCTGTGCACCAGAGCAGCAGTTGCCAACCTTTTGGACCTCACAGACCACCAGTGGTCCGCGGCCCACCGGTTGACGACCGCTGCACCAGAGGGTCCTGGGTTTGATTCCTGGTAAAGGGCACGTACCTGGGTTGCAGGTTCGATCCCTGCCCATGTCGGGCCATGTGCAGGAAGCAACCAGGCAGGCAACATTAATGTGTCTCTCTCACATCGATGCTTCTCTCTCTTCTTCCCCTCTTGCTAAAAAAAAAAAAAAAATCAATGGAAAAATATCCTCGCTCCTTGGGTGAGGATTAAAAAAATGCTTTCAGATTGATAAACTAGTAAGCCTCTAGCTCACTGACTAGGGAAATAGAGAACACACAAATCAACAATGTCAGGGGTGAAGGAGGGGATATCAATGCAGACTTAGAAAATACCACAGGATCATTAGAAAATACTACAACCAACTTTAGGTCTATATATTCAACAATATTAACTTAAAAAATTTTTTTTGTAAGATAGCGAAAGCTCACTGAAGAAACAGATACTTTCTAGAAAAGAAAGCTCCAGTCCCAATTTATTTCAGTGGGGAATTCTATCAAAAAGTTAAGGGAGAAATAATATCAAGCTACACAATCTTCTAGAAAATAGAAAAGGAGAAAGTACCTCACAACTCATTTTACATACCTATTAATCTGATACCAATATTAGACATATTATAAGCAGAACCCTTTACATCTATGTCTTGATTTGCTAATATCTGCTGTGGAGATTATTTACAATAAGTAATTGGACTTGGTGTATTTATTCCTTTTTACCTCCTAGATTGTTTCTTTGCTAATATACTACCCATACCAAATTCAGTCTAAATGATAGCAGTTCCCTCACCTGGATTTCCATCTGATTCAAGCCATTTTTGCTCAAGTATCTTCCTCATTTTGGAATCACTGCATTTCAAGAAAGTTGTGTGTAGTTGGATTGTGCTAGCTACTCTTAAGATTGTAAGAAATGCCCAGAATATTTTATTCTTGCTTATCTGAAACAGGGCATTAAGGTAAATATTTATATACAATCTACTTCGGAATAACTGCTTACATTAACCACATTTCATTGTAGTAGCTGTAGCTATGATGCTATGTAAAACCTAAAGTATCTTTTTTATGCAAATGACATTTTCATTTAATGTAACAAATTGTTTATCTAATTTTTATAATGTGGTTTAAACAGATCCTTTTTAAAGTAAGATTATCTTTTATTTAAAGAATGAACAATCTGTGTCTAGGCTATTGCTTGTAAAAAGAGACTTTGTAATCAAATCAAATTATATAGCAGATTCCAAGTGACCCATTATATGCTACTTTTTAAATTTGAAACAGAGTGAAACTGAAGGTTTGATCATGAGAAGATGCTTGAAAAACCATGGACGTACCCAGTGCAGTGGCTATAAAGTCTTATTTATCATTTAATCTATCTTATTCATTTTGGAAGAGATATTTTACACTTTATCTTGTACAGACATTTCACTAATTATTACTCCAATTTAAGGGGCAAATCTCACTTCGAATATAGCCTTCATTTTGGACCAATCTGTCATGGCAATAAATAATTATGCATTTAAGAAAAAACAATTATTGTATTTGACTTAATGTACTCTTACATTTAAGCAATTACATATATATATATATACTAGAGGCCCAGTGCACGAATTTGTGCACCAGTGGAGTCCCCCGCCTGGCCTGTGGGATCGGGCCAAAAGCGGCTCTCTGACATCCCAGAGGGGTCCCGGATTGTGAGAGGGTGCAGGCCAGGCCAAGGGACCCCACCGGTGCACGATCAGGGCTGGGGAGGGATGCGGGAGGTTGGCCAGCTCGGGAGGGCGCTGGGGTGTGTCCAGCCCATCTCACTCAGTCCCGATCGGCCAGATCCCAGCAGCAAGCTAACCTACCAGTCAGAGTGTCTGCCCCCTGGTGGTCAGTACACATGATAGCAACTGGTAGACCAGTCGAGTGTCTGCCCCCTGGTGGTCAGTACACGTGATAGCAACTGGTCAACCAGTCGAGTGTCTGCCCACTGGTGGTCAGTGCACATCATAGTGGTTGAGCAGCCTTAGCAGATCATTAGCATTAGCTTTGGTTGGTTGAACAGACACCGGGACACTTAGCATATTAGGCTTTTATTATATAGGACATCTTTACATTTCCACTTACCAAAATAATTGTTTATTTAACAGCATAACCTTTTATTTCCCTGACAAAATATTGAAAACATACTCATGTTGCAAAGTTGTTTTCAATCTTTTTCACTATTTTATTCAAGGTATAAGTAAAATTAGTGTGATTATATGCAGAGGTAGAAAGTTTTATAATATTAATACATGATTTAGAATTCAAAGTCAAATATCAGAAGCTGGAAATTCTTTAAATATGCCTATGAAAATAAGTGGCTTTTTTTTATGAAAAAAAAACAACAGGATTTTGGGACTTAGAAAAGAGTCAAGCTTCTTAGTTAAAAGTTAAGAGAGTAAGCAATAATCTAAGAATTAAAACCAATTCTGATCTGCTGTTGGTAACTGAAACTTAGACATGTGCAGGTTTATATGTATACACTAACACAGATACTCACCAATACACTAATTTTGAAAACAACTAGAAGAATTCATACTCTGTTAGTAAATACAAGGTTATTTGAGGACTATCTCAGTTGTTTTAAACATTTTCTGTTAACTGAGGAGCTACGAAAAATCTGGACTTAACTGAAATATTACTGAATAACATATAAAAATTCTTAAGTTTTAAGAAACAGTTGTACCTAGATAAAGGTCAGTAAACTATGGCCTGTAGGCTGGCTGCCTGATTTGTAAAACCCACTGTGCTCTTTTGGCCAAGTGGCTGCTCTCGCACCACAACAGAAGAGTGGAGTATCTTCAATAGAAATCACATGACCTGCAAAGCCTAAAATATTTAATATCTGGCCCTTTACATAAAAATTTTGCTGATGCCTGGTCTAGATACTTGCTAGGGACAAATGACCTCAAATATAGAGCTTTTTAAGAACGAAGTCCAATTGTTATCTAAATGAAACAAATAGGATATGTGTAGAAAATGTACAAATGTTTCTTTAAAATATAACACAAAATATAATCAGTAGATTTTTTTTTCAAAACAAATATTTAATATTTTAACTGTTTTACAGGAAAGAAATTTAAATAGCATACTTCTTTTTACTGTTGACTTGATCATTTTACAAAGGTGACAAAAAATACAGAAAGTCCTGTGAAACTCAATGAAAAGCATAACATTGGAAATTTTCTTCAGCTTTCTACTTTAGTGGCCGAAGATACCACACAGACTTGTGCGATGTCATCATATTCATATGTTCTCTTTAAAAACGTGTCTGTTAGTCTTAAGCCGGAGACGCTCTATTGAGAGAAAAATATAGGCCTAAGTTTTCAGTCAGTGGTAATTACTAGAGAAAGTATGGATACAGTACATGCAACGGGCTAATAGCTCCCAAATATTGAAATGATTGAAAAGATAACATACTTGCAGTCCCTGTACTGAAGACAGTAGAGTAAGGGCAAGGCAGAGAGAGGAACTGGGATGCAGCTTTCCAAGCTGTCTTCCTGAAATGCCGCACCAGTGGATAGAATTGGTATTGCACATTTCCAAAACTAGGTCCATAGTCCTTTCACTGCTGGGGGAATCAGAAAAACAGGAATAAATCTTGTTCCTTTCACAAGAAGGATGGGACATTCTTGCATTACTGCCAGTGAATTTGTTTTTTGGGTGTCCAGGAGAATTAAAAGCCAGAAACAAATTAAAATATATCATTTTTATTTCACTTATGCTAGAGTCAGGAAAATGAAAGAAGATAGCATCTTCTAGGGTTAGTGTCACTGAGACTAATTTGCCTCTCTGGTTGTTGGCCTTCTGGTTCTCTCACTAGACACCTGGCTCCCTGCTTTGCCACTTCTCTGGGAGACTTCCAGACATCTGTGTCTAATCTTGGTGCTATGCATCCTTCCTAGTTCTGTTAGGTAATCCGCAGGAAATAGAATAACAAACGGAGACTGGTCCAGTGCTTTTCCTATTTATGTTTCTTTAACATGGAGGTAACACAGAAAATGACTGACATGATTTATAAGAAGTGAAAACTATTCAGGTTTGTTCACTGTTAACATAAAAAGCCTGCTTCTGCTTACAATTGATATAATCAGTTCAGCTTAAATATGTTAAAACAACTTTTAATGAAAGTATGCATGTTGTTTAAAAAACACACAAACCAAAGGCTCGTAATGAAAAATACTCTACCACCATTCATGACTACCTTCAACTCTTTTTTTTTTCCATAGTTGGCTCCATATTTTAAAATATTTACTTAAAAATTAATTTATTGATTTTTAGATATAACAATTTAATGGTACTTAGCTTTTATAGGCCTCTGTCTCCTAAATAAACATTTGAAATGTCTACTGTGCTGCAGACCAGGTTAGATGCACTACATGAATTTTCGCATTAAGTTTCTCAGAAACCCAGAAACTATGTTGATAGCACTTTGTCATTTGGCCAATAATGGATTTGCTATACCTCAAACACCTCGAAAGAAGCAAGCAAACAAACACAAAAAATCCAAAACCCCACTGTAAATGCGCAGGGTCTTTGCCTTGTGTGTATTGTTTGCTGAGCTCCTCCAATGTGGCCGGCAATACTGGGTAAGACATGGCCCTTCCCTTGAATAATTCACAATCTAGTGAGGAAAAGACTAGTAATTGTAGCAATATATGAGTGTCACTAAAAAACTGTATTAAACTTTGCTGTAAGAGAGAAAAGGATATTAACTGTGCATGGGAGGGTCTAGGTGGCTTCATAGGGGAAGTAGATATTTTTTAAGTTAGAAGGATGACTATTTCCTATCTCCCTCAAAAATCGTAAGGTGGAAATGAAAATGGATTATAAAGGATTATATATTCACACAGTGAGGGCTGGGACTCATCACTGAAATGTTCTTAAAATGCCCCAAATAATAATACCAAGTAGTAATAGATGGAGTACCAAAAGTGACAGGACTGGGATTTAATCCTAGGTTTTTCTGGCTTCAAAGCTCTGGGCTCTGCTTTCTAATAATTAGATTATACTTTCCCTTTATTATCAAAGTCCTGTTTTCCAATCTATGGTTATCCCTTATATTAAATTCATAACCTATTTTTACTTTCTTGATACTAAAGACATAGCTCCAGTGTAAGTATAGCTCAGAAAAATCCGCCTTGTTACATTAAATCTGTAATATACTAGAGGCCCAGTGCACAAATTCGTGCACAGGTGGCGTCTCTCGGCCTGGCTGGCCATTGGAGCGATTGGGGCCATCTCGCCCAGTTCAGGGGGAAGGGCAATGGGAGGTTGGTGGGCCAGGGTAGGGACTGCGGGAGGTTGGCCGGCCGCCCTGATTGGAGCTGACTGGGGCTGGCAGGCTGGGGGCTAGGGACTGTGGGAGGTTGGCTGTGGGAGCGCACTGACCACCAGGGGGCAGCTCCTGCATTGAGTGTCTGCCCCCTGGTGGTCAGTGTGTGTCATAGTGACTGGTCATTATGGTCGCTTAGGCTTTTATATATATAGATTATTCCATAAGAACCTACTATCTCATGCTTTAGTGATGTGAAGTGTGAGGGAAGTGTAAACAATGAAAAGAATATGGACTTTGTCAAATACACCCAGTTTCAAATTCTGACCCCATCTTTTCTAGCTCTCTGAGCTTAAATAAAGTCACTTAAACTCTGAGTTGGTTTTCTCTTGCATAGACTGAATAATTAATACCTACCTCATAGGGTATAATGCATGAATGTAATCAAATACATCAATTGCCTAATGCAGCACAACCTCAAAAATATGTAATGTACAGGTACCACATGAACAACTACAGTATTCAACATTAACGTCAGAAAAGGCTACATGTCAACAGGAAACTTAAAAGGTGACAACATATTTAAAAGACTTGAAAATTCTCTTTGAGGATTAAGAAGTTCAAAGTGGTAGTTATAAAAGTCACAGGGGCCAAAACCGGTTTGGCTCAGTGGATAGAGCGTCGGCCTGTGGACTGAAGGGTCCCGGGTTCGATTCCGGTCAAGGGCATGTACCTGGGTTGTGGGCACATCCCCAGTAGGCAGCTGATCGATGTTTCTCTCTCATCAATGTTTCTGGCTCTCTATCTCTCTCCCTTCCTCTCTGTAAAAAATCAATAAAATATATTAAAAAAAAAAAGTCACAGGGATGTAAAGTACAGCATAGGGAATAGAGTCAATAATAGTGTAATAAACTATGTACGGTGCCAGGTGGGTACCAGGAATATCAGAGGAACACTTTTTAAAGTATATGATTGTCCAACCACTATACTGTATACCTGAAACCAATACAAAATAATATTAAAAGTAAACTGTGATTAAAAAATAAAATATAACTTAGAAAAAAAGGGAATAAAAATTATCTTTTAGGTGGATGAGGAGGAAAGGACATCTATCCACAAACATTGGCATTACCTGCAGTTTGTTATTTTACACGTAATATGAAAAGGTTCCTCTAGGATTACGGTATCTGGGATTGCCTCCAAAGACAACCTAACATCTCCATAACCTGGAGCCTAAAAGAAAAAGCAACACAGTTAACATACATGTATTATAAATCCTTTCCATTGTTATGAAGGTACCACAGCAGGACACTCACTCAACAGTTGTTGGGTCTCCAAGATGATGTTTTGAGAAAATATTTTTCTGTTATTCTATTCTTCATTCTAACTTCTTTTGCCGCCACTACCTGCAGAACACCACTATAGACCCTGCCTGTTTTTGCTATAATTACTCCATGTTAAGTAGTGTTATAATGAATCTCCAGGTCTATAAATATCATAGATAAATAGTAAAGACATTTCAGGAGGTCTGATCTTAAAGGGATGCTTTCCAAAGATACTGTGGCTCATATACACATAGCTCTAAATAGGGACGATTACTGCCTAAACAGAAAGAGGAGGATCACTCTGAAATGATCCCAGAAGAAAATCATGTCTTTTCACAAGACACATGGGCAGGGATAGACCACAGAAACACGAAAGCTTGGAACATGCCATGGCAGGATGATAGCTAACTGTTACATTAAAAATAGGCCAGTAACAATCTTTTTCAAATTATTACCTCAAACAGTGAAAGAACAGTTAAGTTTAGAATATATCAGAACAGGTAATATTCAGCACTAAGGGTGGATTCTGTAGTATATTCTAACACAAGAAAGGAAGACTGGTAGCTACCCCTATTCTCAGAGCAGAAATGAGGTATCCAACCAATGCTTACAAGGTCACTTTAGTGGGACTCACACCCTGGTTGCTGATGACTCAGATTTTAAACATCTTAAAAATGGTATAAACTGAGTAGGTGACTGTAGTTAAGAGTTTCAGGATACTGCAAAAAGGAAAATTTTAATATAGTGGAAGTTAGGTGAACAGAGAGTATGAATCACCTTAGGAGGGAACAACTGATAAGCAGATATTTTAATTTCTGTTTGGTAAAGGAAAAAACCACATATGAAGGATAAATGATAAATTAACAGTTGAAGATTTTCCATTTATCTCAATACCAATTTTTTTCCTAGAGGTCAGTAAAATTATTAGTCTTTTATCTCTTATACTCCTGTAATATTAATGCCTTTTATACTGCTCTGGTTTTTAGTGTGTAGACCTAGGAAAACTGAAGTTGTCCTACCTACCTACCCGCCCCTCCCCACACACCAAAACCCGAAGTTTTCCCCAGACTCACCATTCTTTGAAGTTGGCTGGTCTGTAATCTTCCCCTTTCACCTAGATTTGTTTTCCATACTATATCCAATTTCCCGATTACTGTTACCCCTTTAATGATGCCTGCTTTTTCTGCAAACTCCTTCTTGGGCTTTAGGCAATATAAGTACTGGCGTGTATCCATTGGCTGCAAATAGGTTCTTGACCCAAACGTAGTTACACTGAGAGGGGTGGAGATAGAGATGGAGAGATTTCTCTAGCACAGTAGTTCTCAACCTTCCTAATGCCACGACCCTTTAATACAGTTCCTCATGTTGTGGTGACCCCCAATTTCATTGTTACAAATTGAACATAATTAAAGCATAGTGATTAATCATAAAAACAATATGTAATTATATATGTGTTTTCCGATGGTCTTAGGTGACCCCTGTGAAAGGGTCGTTCGACCCCCAAAGGGGTCACGACCCAAAGGTTGAGAACCGCTGCTCTAGCATCTTTTAAAAGAAAAATCATGTGATTGTTCCTTTTGAAAGGAACTGAATGATTTACCATCCAAAGATCTAAAACAGAACAGGTGAGTTAAAAAAAAAAAAAAAAAAGCCGAAACCGGTTTGGCTCAGTGGATAGAGCGTCAGCCTGCGGACTGAGAGGTCCCGGGTTCGATTCCGGTCAAGGGCATGTGCCTGGGTTGCGGGCACATCCCCGGTGGTGGATGTGCGAGAGGCGGCTGATCGATGTTTCTCTCTCATCGATGTTTCTAACTCTCTCTATCTCTCTCCCTTCCTCTCTGTGAAAAATCTATAAAATACATTAAAAAAAAAAAAAAGAACAGGTGAGTTGTTTCAACAGAACTTATACTGAGAGGATTTATTTTTGTTTAATTTTTGTTGATATGGAAAATCTTGAGGTTCTTTATAATAGAATGCAATACATTACCTAAAATATTGGATATGTATCAATTAACTGAAAAAAATGCAATAAAGATCAAAACTTTATATATCCTTTTCTCTTCTCTATAATGATAAAAAATAGTTAAGAATAAGAAGAAAGGGGCCAACTGGGGAAAAAGGAGACATATGTAAAACTTAAGACAAAAAAAAATTGGAAGAAACATAATATTATAAACTAAGTAATTATTTCCGAAATGAACTAAAATAATAGGAAGAGAATGGAAAATTGTTTTCCCCAGTGGGAGAATGGGAGATTAAGAACTCTTCTATATCTAACCAACATAATAAGGTAA